GGGCACCATCAGAGCACCGTGACTTCAGGTACGCTCCCTGGGAGCATACATGAGGTGGGAGAGGGTGGAAGGGCAGGGGGCTGGGCCCTGCCTCAGGGGCTCTGGAGGTGAAAGCCCAGGGGTTGCAGCCGGTGGAGGGCATGTCACCAGCCTGGAAGGCCCTGCTCACTTGTGCCTCCTGTGTTTTGATATAGAAGTGGGATGCCTTCATAAAGGAAACCTAAGACATTAGCACACTCCAGGAGTGTGTGCAGATCCTGTTTAACAGCAGATATGGTGAGTGGGTGGCTCCGCCCACCATGTGGCCCCAGCAGCCATGTTGAGCATCTCATTACGTGGCAGACACTCGTGTTCGCAACACAGCAGCAGGAGCCATATCCTGTCTCCTGCACAACAGCAATGCTGTCATCTGGCTGGGGCTCCTCCTGTCTGGGTAGGGGTTGGTTGTGTCCATATTTCCCTTCCAGATTCTTCAGGGGGCAGAACTGATGGCAAAGCCCCAGACCTCGGCTCAGTGGTGGGAAGTGGGACAGGTTTGAGGTAGGGATTGCCTGTCGGGGCCGGGCATGGTGGCTCATGCCTGTCTTCCCAGCGCTTTGGGAGGCCATGGTGGGAGAATCACCTGAGACCAGGAGTTCAAGACCAGCCTGAGCAACAGTGAGACCTCCCGTCTCTACAAAACACTTTTAAAAATTAGGCCAGACATGGTGGCTTACACCCGTAATCCCAGCAGTGGGAGGCGGAAGGCGGTCAGGAGTTCAAGACCAGCCTGGCCTACATGGCGGAACTGTCTCTACTAAAAATACAGAAATTACCTGGATGTGTTAATACAAACTTGTAATCCCAGCTACTCAGGAGGCTGAGGCACAAGAAACCTCTTTGAGGCCGGGTACCAGGTGTCACTCCTTTTAAGTGCAGAGTAAACATTAAGTGGAGAAGCCAGCATTGTGTAATGATAAAAGTACAGACTTGGTCACAGAGATTTGGGTTCAAGTCCAGGCTTCACCCATACAGGCTGTGTGACCTTGCACCAGTTATTTCTTTGGGCCCCAGAGCCTCCTAAGTGGTTGTGGCAGTTTAATGAAATACAATAGTATGGTGCTTGGCATATAGTAGGTCCTCAAAGTATTGTTTAGAACAGCTATGCGGGATTTTGTTGCACTATACTGAATCTTACTAAAGAACAAGGCTCCTGGAGGTCTGGGAAGAATTTAGCCAAGTCTTGTACACTTTGTGAGAATTTAACTGTGCAGCTCATGGAGAGCTGGTTGTGCTAATTAGAGCCTTTCCCTTCAGTGGTGGGCTTGGTAAATGCTGATTATCAGGGCCTTTTGATTCACTTGTTCAAAGTGGTGTCACCTCTCCACAGAGCCTCTGATGGGCCCACTCAACAGCTAGCAGGCATGGCTAGGCATAGTCACAGCACAAGTCTTGGTTATAAGAAAGCCAGGGCAGCCCTCAGGAAATGAACAACAACAAAAAAAAGGGCGGGGGAGAAATATGGCTGGGCGTGGTGGCTCACGCCTGTAATCCAAACACTTTGGAGTTTAAAAAAAAGAACTGGGTGTGCACCTATAGTCCCAGCTACTTGGGAGGCTGAGGTGAGAGGATCACTTGAGCCCAGGAGGCAGAGGTTGCAGTGAGCCAAGATGGCATCACTGTACTCCACCCTGGGTGACAGACCAAGCATCTGTCTCAGGGGAAAAAAGACTGTGCTAGAGAGACAGACTGCTCTTGAGTAGTATCCATTTCCTAAGGCCTGGCTTGACAGAGGTGACAGGGGACAATGACAGGAGGATTTAAAGCCTGTCTACAGAACACAGGGTTATGCTCCTATTAGAGGTGTATTTTCCTTTTTTTTAAGAAGGGGTTTCACCATGTTGCTCAGGCTGGTCTTGAACTCCCGACCTTAGATGATCCACCTGTCTTGGCCTCCAAAGTGCTTGGATTACAGGTGTGAGCCACCGTGCCCAGCCCCTTTATTTTTTGTTAAGATGGGATTTCACCATGTTGCCCAGGCTGTTCTTGAACTCCTGGGCACAAGCCCTCCGTCTACCTCAGCCTCCCAAAGTGCTGGGATGACAGACGTGAGCCACTGTGGCTGGCCTGTCTTTTTATTCTTTGTTGCTAAATCTTGAGATTTACTTTAGCTTTTTGGCATTGATTCTGTTACCCTATTTACTGGGTGGTAATGATAAATACACCTACTCTAGAACTTAAGGATGCATTGGTTGATCTTTGATGTTGAATGACATCAAGTAAGTGTCTCCTACAAAAATAAAACTTTTGTAGGATTTTTCTGAAGGAAGTAGCTGCTGTGAAGCAAGTGTAGTAAATACCTAATAGAACTCTGTGCTTTTTTAATACTTGTAGCTCTTCTCACAAATGTCTTGCCTGCTTACAGATCAATATCTTTTTTCTTTAAGGGACATGGCTTGCAGTGTGGCAGGCATAACTTCTGGTGCTAATGTTCTGACTAACGAACTAAGGCTCATTGCTCAAAGGTATGGTCATAAATAGCATAACTGTTGATAAATCAGTTTTGATGTTTCTAAGGAGAGCTCACTTTTGCAAAGTCATTAAAATATTTTAATTGAAAATTACAGATTTCTTTAAACCAAACTTAACAAAACATTATTTCCTATGAGAATATTCGGATGTTGACTTGTTCCCTCCCCTTCAAATTACAAACAACGGTTAGGTTGTCCCTATGGGCATAGATTGCTTTTTAGAGAGTATTTACCTTAGAGTCTGTCTGTGTTTTAGAGAAAACTAATGTGCCGATCTCTTTATCCTAGGTATTTATTACAGTATCAGGAGCCAATACCTTGTGAGCAGTTGGTTACAGCACTGTGCGACATCAAACAAGCTTATACGCAATTTGGAGGTGCTTAATTTTTTTGAAAATTTTATTCCAAAAAGTTAAGACATTTTATGACTCAACATTTTTGAGGCAGTAAAAAATTGAAAAATAGACCCTTTTGTTTTAAATTATATTATTTAAATTGGCAAATAACAACTGTATGTATTCATAGGGTACATAATGTTTCAGTACATACAATGATCAGATCAGGATAATCGGCACATTCATCATCTCAAACACTTCGCTCTGTTGGGAGCCTTCCATACCCTTCCGGCTATTCGAAACTAACATGTTACGGTTAACTATATTAATCTTACAGTGGTGTCGAACACTAGAAATTCCTGCATTCTTATTTCATGAGTGAACCTGAAATTACCATAGTTTTGTTAACAAGATAGGTAAAGTCCGAGATAACATTTTCAAATCTGGAAGCTAACTGCTATTTCCATAATAACGAAATTCAGCCCTGGTCCTCTTGTCTCTTCCCTCTCCTGGCGGTATCCAAATCATAGAAACAGAAGTGGAATTTGTAATAGAGCTTATCTATGGTAGCCAGAATACAAAACAGTTTATGAATGCTTAAGTTCACAGAGAAGGGTTTAGCTACATTCACTGAGCTCAAGTAACTATAGTGATACTAAATTGAGATTATTGATATATTTGGCTTTTTTTCTTTGTTAAAGGAAAACGTCCCTTTGGTGTTTCATTGCTGTACATTGGCTGGGATAAGCACTATGGCTTTCAGCTCTATCAGAGTGACCCTAGTGGAAATTGTGGGGGATGGAAGGCCACATGCATTGGAAATAGCGCTGTGAGTATTTTTGTTGTGCTATAAAATCTAGCAGAAGGTCTAATAACTGCCGTAATTTTGCAGTGGTGATGAACGTAAACAATATTTTACAATAGCCACAACCACCTTAATGTGATATGGAAATATTTGTGATTTCTGTTGGTGACAGAATTGCTGGTATAGCTAATATACTGGGGTTTGTTAATTACATTAATAATTAAATGCCAAGTTTCAATTAAGAGTTGTGAAATTAGAAGTTGTAATTTTGTTTCACAACCTAGTTTACAAATCCCCTCAATTCTATGACAGACCGCTTGGGAGACTGAGGTACTTTATAGAGCGTCAGTACCCCCTCCTCTTATCTTGTGCTGTGTTTGCCTTGCCTGTCATCAAAATTCTTTATATGGGACAGGCATGGTGGCTCATGCCTGTAATCCCAACACTTTAGGAGACTGAGGCAGGTAAATCGCCTGAGCCCAGGAGTTTGAGACCAGCCTGGGCAACATGGCAAAACCCCATCTCTACAAAAAATACAAAAGTTAGCGGGTGCCGTGGCATGTGCCTGTAATCCTAGCTACCCAGGAAGCCAAGGTGGGAGGAGGATCACCTGAGCCTGGGGAGGCTGTGAGGATACAGTGAGCTGAGATCACACCACTGCACTTCAGCCTGGGCAACAGAGTGAGCCTCTGTGTCTAAAAAAAGAAAAAGTTTATACTTGTAATGCCAATGATAATTCAGGCTGTGTATGGTGGCTCCTGCCTGTAATCCCAGCACTTTGGGGGGTCAAGGCAGGTGAATCAGTTGAGATCAGGAGTTCGAGGCCAGCCTGACCAACACAGAGAAACCCCGTCTCTACTAAAGATACAAAATTAGCTGGGTGTGGTGGCACATGCCTGTAATCCCAGCTACTCAGGAGGCTGAGGCAGGAGAATTGCTTGAACCTGGGAGGCGTAGGTTGCAGTGAGCGAGATCGTGCTATTGCACTCCAGCCTGGGCAACAAGAGCGAAACTCCATCTCAAATAATAATCACTATAATAATTATTTAGGCATTTTTCTTCTAGACCAATTCATGTTTCTAAAAAATGTAAAAACTTAAACAAAATTCTATGTTGATTCATGTTTTATAGGCGGCTGTGTCAGTGTTGAAACAAGACTACAAAGGAGAAATGATGTTGAAGTCAGCACTGGCTTTAGCTATCAAAGTGCTAAATAAGACCATGGATGTTAGTAAACTCTGTGCTGAGAAAGGTAATTCATGTCCTATCCTTTAATTCACTCCGTTAGACTGAGTTAGGTTTTAACGTATTATCCTAGTTCATTGAAACAGCAGCCTTATGAATTAGGTGATGTTATCCCTGTCTTCTCACTGAGGACACTAGGGCTTACTGAGGGCAAGTGAGTTGACCAAGGTCAACATTGGTAAACTGTGGACACACTGTTCTCAATACTCACAGATAGAGATCCTGTACCGTGCTACTTTTAGTTAACAGTTATCAAATCTTCTCATCAATGGTATCTTTGCTTGTGTGTATGTGTGATAAAACATATGCATGTAGTTATATATTCGTACATAGGTTTGGTATTCTTTACCAGAGATACAACATTTACATGGGTTGTGATATCCTCTCCTATTCTTTTGAATCTACTAATCTCTTATTTTAAGTTTATGTTAGCAATTCCAAACACTTTGTTCAGTATGTCAGGCCAGGTGCAGTGGCTCACGCCTATAATCCCAGCACTTTGGGAAGCTGAGGCGGGCAGATCACCTGAGGTTGGGAGTTTGAGACCAGCCTGACCAACGTGGAGAAACCCTGTCTCTACTAAAAGTACAAAAAATTAGCTGGGTGTGGTAGCACGTGCCTGTAATTCCAGCAACTTGGGAGGCTGAGGCAGAAGAATTGCTTGAACCCAGAAGGTGGAGTTTGCAGTGAGCCAAGACAAGGTCACAACATTGCACCCCAGCCTGGGCAACAAGAGCAAAACTCTGTCTCAAAAAAAGAATATTTCAACTGGGCATGGTGGCTCACGCCTGTAACTCCAACACTTTGGGAGGCCAAGGTGGGTGGATCACCTGAAGCCAGAAGTTCAAGACCAGCCTGGCCAACGTGGTGAAGCCCTGTCTCTACTTTTAAAATACAAAAATTAGCCTGGCATGGTGGCGCACACCTGTAATCCCAGCTACTCGGGAGGCTGAGGCAGGAAAATCACTTGAACCTGGGAGGCGGAGGCTGTAGTGAGTAGAGATTGTGCCACTTGCACTCCAGCCTGGGTGACAGAGACTCTATCTCAAAAAAAAAAAAGTATTTCTAAATGTTTTTAAGAAATTGTGGTAAATTAACATGTTGCTTTAGATTAGGACAGTTTAGCTCCTGGTATTCCTTAGAAAATGCCACTTATGGCCAGGCGCAGTGGCTCACACCTGTAACCCCAGAACTTTGGGGTTAGGCTACCTGAGGTCAGGAGTTTGAGACCAGCCTGGCCAACATGGTCAAACCCCATCTCTAGTAAAAATACAAAAAATTAGCCAGACATGGTGGTGTGCACCTCTAATCCCAGCTATTTGGGAGGCTGAGGCAGGAGAATTGTTTGAACCTGGGAGGCAGAAGTTGTGGTGAGCCAAGATTGTGCCATTGCACTCCAGCCTGGGCAACAAGAGCAAAACTCCATCTCAACAAAAGAAAGAAAATGCCATTTACATGCAGTTTGCCCTCTGTTGTCTTCCACCCAATTTTAAGGAGACACTACTCTATTTCCCTGGTACAAAGCAATCCCTTCCCCTTTAGGTATTAGTCTGCTTTTCTTGGCCATTTCATGCCTTATTTTGTTTTGTTTTGTTTTTTGTTTTTGAGACAGAGTCACACTCTTGTCACCCAGGCTGGAGTGCAGTGGCGTGACCTCAGCTCACTGCAATCTCCGCCTCCCGAGTTCAAGCAATTCTCCTGCATCAGCCTTGAGTAGCTAGGACTACAGGTGCCTGCAGCCATGCCCAGCTAATTTTTTAGTATATTTAGTAGAGACAGGGTTTTACTGTGTTTGCCAGGATGGTCTCAATCTCCTGACATTGTGATCTGCCCGCCTAGGCCTCCCAAAGTGTTGGGATTACAGGCATGAACCACCACACCCAGCCTTTTGATTTAAAGACTTGCAAAGTCCATAAAAAAAAATCTTATTACCAGGTGAAGATTCTGGCTGAAATTGTGGTTCCTTCTGATCAGCCCAGCTAATAGCAGGCCAGCAATAGCAATTGGTCAATTATACTTTTTCTAAGGGAGTGACAATATGGCTGCTAAGAAAGTTGTGATGGGTGAGGTGAAGCTATTTAAGTAAAAATTGTAATTAAAACATTACAAGATGAAAGGTATTTTGTTCTCATA